AATATCGTGTCTCAATTCGCATTTCATTTGATATTTGTGTTGCTCCAGCTCTTGTGCAGGTTCTTTGTGTATCTTATCATCTCTAGTAGGTACCTATAGTTTGGTTTCAAGATAGAAATCAAAAGGAGCAAGTTTGGGGCTGTTCTGCAGAAACCGTGTATACCGGACACGTCCGGTATTTCCTACCTATGCTAAAAATATTCATTCTCTGTTCTAACTTTGTATTGCAGGGTTGTAGCTTCTAGATATATTATTTATACCTTGTATTCTCTATTGGCTAACTCGTGTGGGGTTTATTTCTCTAATTAGGAGTTTCCAAGTGTTTGGAAACTCCAACGCTAATCATTTCCGCATTTCAAAGGGTTGATTTTTAAAAACGCCTATTCACCCCCTCTAGGCGGCATCCTTGGTCCTTTCACCTATATAGGTCTAGGATCGAATATATGCTTAGCCATGCTTAGACTGGTAGAAGTCGGGTGATTTCCTGTCACCTGCGAGATATAGGTGGATACCGAAGCACGGTTGGCTATATTTGCTATCGTGGAAAAGAATCATGGGATAATGTAAATGGAGGTCGGGCAGAGTCTATGTGTAGGATGACTCATGTGATTCTGTCTGTGCCGATTAAGGACCGTACCATTGTTGGCCCTTCTGACAAGATTGAACGCATGCCTATCACTTAGCTGGCTGGATAACTCGTTCCGACCGTGAAGCCGAGTAGCTCAACTCAGGCTGGGCCCCGCTCTGTAAAAGTGCGCACTCTGGATGGTAGTAAGGATGTGTGGGGAGCCAGGCGTGATCCCAAGGGTAGGCCAGGCCTAAACGTCCTGGCAGCTAGTTGTCCCTAATTGTGCGGCGCTGGGTGAACCCACGAAATGTGGACCTGAGTTGTACCAAAGGTGACCTAAGACTACCTTGGCGCAGGTATGTCTGGGTTTGTGTTAGGAATAAATTCCTAGCTGGTTGAAATCGATTCGAATCGCCGTCTCTTCCGGATAGTGAGAAACTTGGCTAGCTCCAACATCGTAGTAATTGTATTATGGAATGTGATGGTTCGAATAAACATGGAATTACTACACCGGCTATGGTTACTATTGTATTCTATTAAATGATATACCACATGTTTGGCACAGGATAGTTGCTAACCTAGAGATGAATAGTTATAATTAACTTGATGACCAAAGTACAACTGTATAGCTGAGTTAATCGCTTTTCATACAAAATGTTGTCAAGCTACCTCCACTTATAAAGCCTTCCATAATCCTTGGAGTCAATTTATTTCTGGTTTATGACGGGTAAGTCTAGCTGAGTACCTTCTCATACTCAGGGTTTCATTTCCATTATTGCAGATGGTACAGTCTATCATGGCTATTGCAAGAACTACTTCTATCCCGCCATGGATGAGGAGTGAGCCTTGGGCAAGCATCTTTAATAATCCCTCTTATATGCTTTTGTGGATTGTGATCATGTGTTGGCACTATATTTGAACTATGTTGGCAAAGACTAGTTTCGAACTTTAATTTGCTTCCGCTACTATCTATCGAACTTGGTTTGTAATAACCTTATTTCGTACTCTGATGAATGAACTGTATCTGTGAACTTTATGTGACATGTGACATGTATGTTGAATCATGTACGATCTTGGTTGTATGTGGATCATTTATCGAGACCCGTCATGGTACTCGACGGACTACCGAGTTTATATGGGCTCAAGTATGATAGTGTGACCACTTGCGGGCTACCATCGTACTTGTGCTCTTATAAATTGGTCAGTTCTATGACATACATCAACTATATCATCAACATTAACATCTGCTTCATTCATATCTGCCTGCATCTTTGCTGACATAGCTGGAATGGGCACCTCTTGTCTAGATCCTTCTGTTGTTGCCTCTAACTCCATGAACTCCATTGCCTCATAAACCTTGTCCTCATCGGCAACCTCTTTTGCTAAACCATGATCATTAGGCTGCCCTATTATTGTTAGAGTAGTCCAATCAACTGCTACATGCAAATCTGTAGGTGTTTTTGCTAGAGAACTATAGGTATCACCACAACCTTCAACATCATCATGCACAACACTTGAGCCACCAATTGGCCCACTTGTGACACCAGAGACGTGTCTAGCTTTAGAAGCACCAGAGCTGACATTTGCATTAGAACCATCCTTCCTCACAATATCTACTACAATAACAGCCAACCTCTCATCCCATATGTCCTTAATCATCTGTTGGAAATGCTCATCCCTCCTAATCTTCCACTCAGACCCAGTATCTTGGTCAAGAACCCACACTGCAAGTGTTTGAGATGGCCCCCATATTATCTTTGTGGCTAAATCCTCATGGAATTGAGCCATAGAATACTGACAGTTCCTATCCAACCATAAGTCATGCTGCTGCTCTGCCATTTCAACTAGCCCATACTCACCATCAGCCACGAATTTAGCAACCTTAACAACTAGTCTAAACGCATTGCCAGGATCGATCCTAGAATCATGGTAAACAATGAAAGAAATGAGGAGTTAGACGGTACCCAACTCCTTCAAATCTGCCTACACTGCTAGGTTGATTAAGCACTTACCAAGGAGGGCAATCACTGTTGCTAGCCATTGTGACACGGGTTGACACCACCTCTCACACTACATCACAAGCCTACGAAACAATCAACCGAGGAAGACAAAGTCAGCGTCCATGAACCCTAACCCTAAACCCTAATGGACACGGGACCTAGGTGCAAAGTGGGGAGTAAGGCCACAAACCTTCGATGCGCTCACCAGATACGGTCATCGTGGTGCAGGGACGACGGGAGGGGAGCTGGAGGCGGCGGCGGCGGCTGGGGAAGAACGCGTCGGCTACGGGGGGGACAAAATGAATGAGGGGATAGCGAGGGCGGGCCCGGGGCGGCGTAATGAAGAAAATGGGTAGGGGCATCGATGACATTTTACCTGCGCCTGCTGACTGGGCGACGCCAGCGTATCGGACTGGCGTGGCTTGCCACATGCGTAAATGTGGTAAATGAAGAACTCAACTTCTCTCATCTGGCAAAATTATAAGTGCCATCCTAAGAGTGATAATCGGATGAGCGCCAATCTTAATAATGGTAAAAATATAAATTTCCCTAGAGAATAGTCGTCGTCACTCGTCACTCATCACGCATGGCCGCACGGGCACGGGGGACGCACTGGCCGCGGGACGTACGAGGCACCCAGATCGACCAGGCACGTCCAACGTCGTGTCGCGTGGGGCCTAGGAGCGCGTCGCGGTGTAGCTTTGGCAGGCCGTGGGCGGTGGCCGGTGGAAGGTGGTCGCCATGTGCGACTCGACGCCGCTAGGCAAAGGCTAAGCTGGTCGGCTGGTAGGGTTGACTTCGGCGGCCGCATCGCTCAGGCAGTAAAAGTTAGAGCATCTCCAACAGAAGGCTAATAATACCCCTAAACCTGAAATTTGCATGATTAGCAGAAAAAACACCGGTCCAACAGCTCCCCAAACCTTCCTCCAAGATTTGGTCGCTCTAAAAAATTGAGCCTGCGTCCCTCATTTGTGCGAACCGACAGCGCGCCCCCAATCTTCCTCCCGCGCTCGTCCTCCCCTGCTTGCGCCAAATTTCTGAAGCCACGCCCTCCCTCCACCTGCCATAGTAGTGCCCTCCCGTCTTCTCCCATCCAGCAAAAAAATATATAATTCTCATTTTTCTACCAGAACCAATCTCAGTTTAATTAGATTTATAAATATATATAATACTATTTACCAAGCCTAATAAGTATTATTAGATTAATAATGATTTACATTTTCACAATAATCTGTTCAGAGATATAGATATTAAAAATTATAAACCTAGTCAATCTTTTAAAAAAGTTTAACTTAATCTAAACCTAGGATTACATTCTCTTGAAGATGAACTAAAAATAATGCTCATCTCACTTTTTAAGAAGGTAAATTTAATCAAATAATCCTGAAATATGAGGCATGTGTGTATTTTAAAATTAAGTGATACTAAGAGACTCATATTTCTAAGCACTTTATAATGTTAAGTCTTCCTATCTCCGTCCTAGAATATAAGGTGTGCATGTATTTTAAAATTTAACCTTTATTATTTTGACCAGCGGTTAGTCTAATCATATGATAAATTTATATTTAGAAAGTGCTTACATCAGTTTTGTATTTTAAAATATTTTTAAATGATTAAACATTGTTACTAAAAAATTAAATTGTAAGAGAAATTAGTGATCAAAGAATCTTGAAGACCAAACCGAATCAAACCATATGTATATTTTAGGATGGAGTATCCTTTATAAGAATGTATGAACATTTTTTTTTACAACAGAATGTATGAACGTTGACAACTGTTTGACCGATTATGGTATTCAAGTTTCAAGGTGACATTTCAACCATTAGCCCCTCTTATGCTAGTATGCTACATTGCTCATGACCGGCGAGACTTGGGGTGCGTTTGGCAGCGAGAATATTTTAGATTCATAGGCAAACGCCACAAAGAGAGAAACATTTCAGGGAGAATCACTTAGAACTGAATCTCTTCTTTTTTTACTAGTCCAAAAAAAAATACTTTGCCTTACAACAAACCTAAATAAGCTTATACATATAATAGGATCAAAGATTGTAAAGAACTACATACTATAGTACATCAGATCCATGCACATCCTCAACGACCTCGTTTTCTTCTAGTTTCACACTTTTTTTCTGCGGAAAACAGCCTCAACAACCTCAGTAGCATGCTCACAGGGCAATGAGCCTGCTCGGCGTGCTCGCTACCGTTGAACAGGGCCATCGAATCAGGTGCATACTCGCATAGAGCACTACGGCCACCTTTTCATCTTTTTGCACGGTGTACCTGCCATGTTTCTTTCCATATATAGTTCTATCCTAATATATGTATAATAAGCACTATACATACACAGGTGTAGAAGTCCCTATATGCTGTCCGGGACCAGGTCTCCAAGACCGTTATAACAAACTAGTATACGGCAAAAACTAGTCCCTTGATCACCTCTTGGCGGATTTTTGGGGTGGAGGGCACGACGACGACGAAGACAGGCCCGAGAACATGCTGCTGTCCGCCTTGTCCTTGCTAAAGGCCTTCAGCACGTCCTCCTTCAGCTCGCAGAAGCGCATCCTCTTCACCTTCTGCTCGTCGACGGTGCCCCTCTGGAGGTAGAACTGGTCCAGCCCGTCTGGCAGGTCGTCCTCCAGGAATTTGTCCAGCACCTGCGAGCAGTTCGGGAAGTACCGACGGCCCATTTCCACTGCAAGAAGCCACCAGATAAAATGGGTGAACAACAGATGATGAGATATCATATCAATCACGTATTTTAAACACAACGATAATACTTCGGTATATGTAGAATCCATGGTTACACTGGAACTAAATTTTCAGGCGATAGCTGTAGAGCATGTTCAGTAAAAAGAATCCGTGGTTGCACTGGAACTAAATTTTCAGGTGATAGCTGCAGAGCATGTTCAGTAAAATGGAAAGGTTGATGATTGAAACTTCACCTGTTTTCATCAGTGCATCTACCCTTGAACGGAGTCTTTTGTTTTGTGTGACTGGCGTCTCATTAAGGTCGACCTCCCTCAGTTTACCACAAGTACTTGCTGAAACTATACCGCCGAATTCTTCTGTGGTGTCTGCTTGTGCAATTTGCATGGCGACCTTGGCTTCAGCAGGAAAGAACAATCTAGCAAATGCAACTGCAGGGACAATACCTAAATGTTATGATGCAGGGAAATAATGTAGCCAATAACATAAAGCACAATCTTCTTCTAAACTTGAATATAAGACAAAGCTAACGACAATGACATATCACACCCCCAAGTTCTAAGGTGCTATTTGATCATCATCCAATGGTGTGAAATCATTCTCATTATATTATCTAGAACTAGACCACTATTAGGTTGTGTACAAAGCTGACAGTCAAGTAGCAATAAATATTGCAGGCTTTGTGACTACAATTGTTTATTTCCTATAACATGCGCAACTTTCTTCAATTTGAAGAAAGGAGAAATCGATGTGGTATGTGGTGGGTGTTTTCCTTTTTTCTCTTTATGAGAACAAAAGGTCAGGGCACATGTCATTAGACTACAAGGAAGCCTGAATCAATCCACCTGACCTCCCAGCTTTTAAATTTTGAAAATTTGAAGGGGGCAACGGGCAACCAATCGGAGCCACTCTATCAAGCATGGTGTGGACTTCACCTCTGTTTTCCAGGTAGAGAAGCTTCATGTGAAGATCATCTGCCAATAAAGGCGAGGTGACAGCATCTTCCACCGCCATAGGATTTCGCATCATCTCCCTCTCTAGAATATCTATACACAGCCTATCTTTATTTGATTCTTGACCCTGCTCCATCTTTGTATTGTAGTCTTTTAATCTTGTTAACCTCCGACAGATACCAATTGCGCTCCTGCCATCAGCTGTCAGTTGTGATACATTTGCCCCTTTGTTAAGGAGACACATAATGATAGCTGGTTCTCTCCTCATAGCAGCCAAGTGGAGTGCTGTGTATCCACGGCTATTCTTCAAATTTAAGTTAGCCAGCGCCAAATCTAATAGCTCTGAGACAACTTTAGAATCACAGTAAGAAGCAGCATAGTGTAATGCATTGGCATCATCTAATGTGATATCAGACTCATTCAGAAGCAACTTCACAAGCTCAACATCATCAGAGTCGAGTGCCCTGTGGATTCTTCTTACTCTTTTCTCATGCACAGGGTCCGAAATGAACGCATCGCCATCGCCATCAGCAGTTGGTGACTTCTTGCGCAAATTTTTTATCTCCTCAACAGCTTCTGGAGGGAGTTCCTTATCCAAAGATATATCGTCAAGATCTGATCTAGCAATCCTTTGAATACATTTGTCGATCACTTGAGTCAGCCCTGAGTGGTAAGCAACTTTCAAAATAGGAATGACATCCTCCACTAGAGTCTTGTCTACAAAGTTAAGAAGCCGGCGCTGTAGAAGAAGACCATGTTAACCATTTGCATTCCTTAAGTCGTCACAGCAAAGCTGAATTGATGTTAAAACAGTTTGACAAACTACACAGCCACAAATGTAATGTATACATGTTGTGCAGCCTAATGGTTCCATTTCAATTATAGACTTCAAGACGACAGGTTCAGTTGTGTCAGCTAAAACAAGAAATACCCAATTTTAGCAGTTTAGTTAGCGATGTAGTCAACACACGGATTTGAGAAAACAAAATCACGAACCCATTTCTAGTCTAGCAAAGCCATGTACAATACTGGGATACAACAAAACATTTCCTAAACAAATTGGAGTCTAATCCTATTGGCAAGAGAGGATGCAAGAACCAAATTGCGTCTCACCTGGAAGAGCGAGGTGAGCTCGGGGATCTTGAAGGTACACGCCGCGTACATGAGCTCGACCGCGGACCTGATGGCCGGCGGGCACGAATCGTGAGGGCACACTGGGTCAGCACAAGAGACCACGTCGACCGGTGACGGCCGGAGCTTGCCGGTGTACATGTACCCCAGAAACACCTGGAAGGCCTCCCGCCCCACGCGTCCCCCGGGCACGAGCTCCTCCATCTTGTACCGCGGCCTTCCACTGGCAGCCCCCTCCGCTGCTCCTCCGGCGCCGGCGGTCGCATCACCGCGCGCTGCCCCACCGCGGCCGCGCGCGGCGAAGAGGTCGTAGAAGAAGTCGCTGCGCGCGGCAAGTATGCAGCGGTGGATGGGTACGGGCGGCCCGCCGTCGGGCACCCCGACGTCGGCGTCGCTGCAGGCTAGGTCCGGGTCGAGGAGCAGCCGCTCGAGGTTCTTGCTGAGGCGGTTCAGGCTCACCGCCTCCACGCTGCTTCCGCTCCCTGCGGTAGCGACTCCACCACCCCATCCCTCGCCGGCAGCCAAGGGGGGAGCCTGGGGCGGCCCCGGCGGCGGCAGCGCGGCGGAACAGGGGCTGGAGCCGTTGGACAGGTACGACGACGAGGACGCAAACGTGATGGACGACGACGGCTCCATGGCTTCCCACGAGTCCCACAACTGGCAAGCACAAGACGCGAGCGCCCTACTTGTGCCGGACCCGGACCACTACCACCATGTGATGGTGGTCGCGTCAAGCGGTTTCGGCAGACAAACCGAGAGCTTTTTGGCCTCGCACGGCCAAACACCCCAATTCGGCGCTCCGCTTGGCTGGCTCCAGGCAGATCCGCGTCGGCAAAAGCCTCCTCGACGTGACCCTTCCTAGAGCGGCACAGAACTCGCCGTAAATCTCACCCGACTCCTCCCAGCGTTGCCGATTCCGGACGGGATCTCACCGGCGCTGCGTCAGGCCAGGAACAACAAATTTGGGGTTTTCTTCTTCCTACCGGGCGGCGGCTAAATCTCAGACAAGTAGAGAACGGATCCAAGTGGGCAGCATAGTAACGGCTGGGAGTAAGGACGTGAGGGATTGTTTGGTGCGTCGACGGACGACCTGGGAGGGGCGAGGACCGGCTGAGGAGCGGTAGGGGTGGGTCAAATGGAATCGTGGAAGAAGAGTCCGGGGCGGGCGCACGCAGCTGCGTGGAAAATAGGGAGGTGAGGAGGGGAAAAGGAGTGGATCGAAGAAGACGACGGGGAGGAAGGAGAAGAGAGGAACTGCTGGATTTCCCCCTGGATTTGGAGACTTTTCTCTGTGTGTCATTATAAAAGATCGTAATCCCTTGTGTGTTTTTGAAAAAATTCGGTGATGTCTTCGCCACTACTTCAACTTTTGGGTCATCAATGCATTTCCGTCGATTCAGAGCTCTAACGCCGTCAAACTGCAGTGTGTGAAAAAGACGAAAATGTCCTTGGTTCAAATATATTATTAATTTTTTGAGCATCTTAACAACTTCAAATGAAAAAACTCAAAACTAGAAAGTTGTAGATCTCGTCGAGATCTATAATTTTTATATAAAATTTATTTTATTTAATTCCATAAAAAAATATGATGATTTTTCTAAGATATATTAATCATATCAAATCATATTTTTTTATGGAATTAAATGAAAATAATTTTTTATGAAAATTATAGATCTCGGCGAGATTTATAACTTTATAGTTTTGAGTTTTTCATTTGAAGTCGTTAAGATGCTCAAAAAATTAATAACATATTTGAACTTAAGGGCATTTTTCTCTTTTCACACTGTAGTTTGACGGCGTTAAGCCTAAAACCGACTAAGTGACATGGAGGATCCAAAAAGTTGGAGTAGTGGCGTGGCAAGACCACCGATTTTTTCCAGAGGCACACAGGGGATTGCGACCTTTTATAATGGCACACAGGGAAAAGTCTCCTGGATTTGCTGCGTCCCCATTCACAGGTCACCCGCTTGGATTATTAGAATAGATGGGTCTTCAGCTTTTCGAGTAAATAATAAATTACGAGAAATCTGAGGTGTTTCGGTGCAAGTTGAAGGAAAACCTGAGACCTCTGTATACGTCGTCGAGTGACGCCTGACCATGGTGACGTCGACGGAGAGGCATGTTCAGCGTGTTCGGCTGGTTTGTATCGTTTATGGTTTGTTTATGTGAGAGAGAAATATTGCTGGTTGTGTCGGCGTTGCGGAAACGGGGGTCCTTAACCGACTAGTGAATTTGTACTGCGTGCTCCCAATTCCGGATGGTGATGTAAAGAGACACAAGGTTTATACTGGTTCGGGCAATGGATGCCCTACGTCCAGTCTGAGAAGATGTTCTTGTATTCCTTACACCGGGGTGCTCGTAGTAGGGGGTTACAAGCTAGGCGAGAGAGGGAGTTCGTCCTAGATCTCTGTGAGGGGAGGTGATATGAATTACAGAATGAGGCGTGTTGTTCGTGCGAGTATTCGTGACTCTATCCGCCGTCCCTAGAAACGGTCCTGGCTGCCTCCTTTTATAGCCGCAGGGAGGAAACCAGGAGTACATAAGAGAGCTACACGTGGAGCGGACTATTCGATGACGTATTCACTCCTGGAGCAGCATGGCGTTGTCGTGGGAGTTCCCGTAGATGTCTAATCGCTATGGTCTCCACTACAAGTAACATGCTGTGCATTTATTGGCTTGGTGGATTGCGAGAAGCTCGGCCATATCATAGCCGGTCGTCGTGCCGAGGCTGTTGTGCCGAGGGCTCTGCCGCTGCCGAGGCCCGAGAAGTGACCCAGTGTGGAATCGCGGGTCTCGGCGGCCATCGGTGAGCAACGATCTGAGACGTCGCGCCTACGGGATCTGGTACCTATGTTGTCGATGGGGGATGGTAAAAAGGTGATCGACCGTTGTCCGTCGCTCTGTTGCGGTATACTTGCCGCCGATCGTGGCTTACGTGGCGGTGCAAATGGCGCGTGTCGGATCGACAACCCGCCAGAGAGACCTTTGAGGCGAGGCGGCGAGGTTGCGGGATTTGGCCCGGCCTCGGGCGGGCGGGCGGGCCAGCCAATTGTCGTCAAGACCTCTACCGGGGTCTCGGCGCGGGCGACGGCGAGGCGGAGAAAGATCATTGAATCCGAGGCCCGTCGAGGGGCTCGGGCGACGACGAGGCGGTCGTCGTCCGGCCGATTCCGAGAGGCTACGAGAACCCGTTCGACTCCCCACGTTGCGATGTCTTTGATGCGAGTCGAGCAAAGACCACGGTGGTCGGTAACCCCCGCTCTGTCTGCGCCGCCGCAGATAGCGAGGAGGTTGACGCGACCGGCGTGTAGTTGGTCACCGTTGTCTTGTGCCATCGTAAATCGTGCCGGAGTGGTTGTTGGGCGCTTGGATGCGACGTTCGGTCAGAGCAGTTCGGTCGAAGAGACGGTCACGGGGCTGATCCCGAGCCGGCCTCGCGTAAATCGGCACTTCTTCCGAGGCCCCGGGCGAGGGGGGCTCGACAAACGGGCCTCGACGAGGGGGCCTTGGCGAGCGGTCTCAAGCGAAATCGAATCGTTTGCTTCATTGGGGCTCGGTGACGGGGTCTCGGGCGAATCGAAGATTTCGGCCGAGACCTCATTTGTTTATTCCGTTGGTTCTGTTTTTAGGGTCTAAGCAGTTTTTCGATCTTTGCTTAGGGTACCCCATTTTCTGGTATCCGACGGGTTGGTTCATGTGAACAGTGTCTATATGAGGGGGCTGGCCAGCCCAGCCAGTCAGCCCGCCCCAGCCAAACACGCTCTACAGTCCCCACCACCTTATCTGTCAATATACTTTTAAAAAAAAACAAATCTGTCCATGTTTTTCTATTAGGTGTATGGAAGTTTCTTGAAACTGTATTAAAAAAGAAAAACTTAAGTTATAGGAGTATGTCAATATATCCCTCCTAAATACCATAATAATAACATAATATTTTTTTTGAGAATTACGCTATACAATCCATAAAAATCATAACAAAACTCTAGTGCCATAAATCATGAGAGGAGAAATCCCAACATGCCAACACTTTCCACAATGTTCAAGCAGGTGTAAGCTAGGAATTTAATCAACAAAGATAACAACAAAACAACAAAGGCTCGAAATATATCTTAAGATTCTTATGATATAATTAAGTATATCTATTATAAAGAATATTGACTATTGTATTTTTTAGTTTACAAAATAAAGATTTTTATAGAATATTATTTTTTTATAGAATACTATTTCTTTATAAATATAGAATAAACAAGTATTCACCTATAGGGTTCCATTTTAGAAAAAAAAAAAGATGACAACAGGTATAATATTCCATTACACGAACATGCTAAATAGGAAGGGGGGACCCTGCCTTAAGTTTTGTATACTTAGAAAAAAAACTGCTAACAATCAACCTCCAACAACAGTGCAACAAAAAGGATTAGTGTAACAATGAGAGATTGCCCTCTGTGAATACATGGTTGATGTGTGCCTAGCCTAAGTCCATATTGAGAGAGATCCCTCTATGACTGTATGAGTGATTAAAACCACTGGCTGGGTGTAAGACTACACCTTGTTGGTCTTTGGCAATAAAGAAATCCTTTCCTCTGAATTCGTGTGTCAAGATCTTGTGTTTGAATTGTTTGCATTTTCCTCTTCCCTTCCCCTTCCCCTTCTCTTGTGAGTTTTGATGGATTCCGAGAAGACGGCTAAAATCCACTTTACACGTTGAATGAATCACGCCTACTAATTAACTCTCTTGCGTTTTCGTCCTCGCTTCGCGCAAAAAATTCGAATCGGAGTTCCTTAGCTTCCCAGGACTCAGAGTTTTAAGTTGGTTTGGCCCCCTCTAGGTTCCGGGACAGGTTTGGCCCCTCTAGGTTCCGGGACTAAACTCGTGTAGCTACAGTGTCCTGCGTGCTACAGTGCCAGAAACCCGAGCCCCTCGCATCACCATGCCGCTACAGTCTCGGGTCATTCGGCCCAGCCCACCATCAGACCGGCCCAAGGCCCATTAGTGGGGTCTCACATACATCCACCCTTAAGGACTCGACGTCTTCGTCGAGGGCCGAACCAACCTACTCAAACAAGACAAATGTCCAGGATCGACTCTCTTGGCCTATGTCCATATTCCTAGCTCTCCAGCTCAAGTGCCAAGCGCGACCTGTCCGGGCTCCTGGGCCATATGTCTATAAAACCGCTCGACTCTCTTGGCCCACGTCTATATTCCCAGCTCCTCAACCCAAGTGCCATGCTCTCACAGGAGCCCTGCGCAGCCTGTCCGAGCTCCTGAGCCATATATTCGTGAAGCCGCGAGAGTTGGCTCTAATACCATTTGTAACGCCCCAGCCCGGAAAGACGGCTAAGATCCACTCTACACGTTGAATAGACCACACCTACTAATTAACTCGCTTGCGCTTTCGTCCTCACTTCGTGCAAAAAATTCAAGCCGAAGTTCCTTAGCTTCCCAGGACTCAGAGTTTTAAGTTGGTTTGGCCCCCCTCCAGGTTCGATGCGGGACTAAATCCGCATAGCTACAGTGCCCGCGCTGCTACAGTAACCGGAACCTGAACTACAGTGCCTCGCATCGCCATGTCGCTACAGCTCGATCATTCGGCCCAGCCCACCATCAGACCGGCCCAAGGCCCATTAGTGGGGTC